AAAGATACGTGGCCAGCCAAGAGGTGATGGATGTCTACAGCCAGGATCCACACCTCAGCCCCTCTTCCTGCTCAGTTTTTATTCCCACAATTTTATGTTCTCAAGGTGACTGAATGGACTCTGTGGTTCAGAAGGAACAAATTCAAACTCTACTTGAGCCCTCGGTCAGAAGCCTGGCCTGCTGGGCCATCAGCTGTCTTGTGTCCCTAAACCTAAAAATGTCCTCTTATTGTGTCCTTGCCTGATCTTCCTCCTAGATGGGATGGGGGGATCCTGAGCATCTTCCTGGCAGTGGCTGTAGAGAGTAAATCCTGGATTCTCACCAATAGCTTTCTATGGGGATCTGAGCCCAGACAACCTTCCCATGGCAGGGTCACCAAGAATACGTGTGGAGCAAGAAAAAACAGGTTAGAAGGCCACAGAGCACCCCTGGGCACACCCTGAGCCCCAAAGTGCAGCCTGCTGAAGAAACTGCTCCCAGGAGCACTCCCCAGGGCCATCTACCCAAATGGCACTCTGGGATTAGATGGGACCCCAAAGACTGACTGCTACAGGAGTTCCCAAAATCTCTGCTGGAACTACCAGACTCTTGACCATGGTTACTTCATGAGACAGCAACCTGCAGGAGCTTTCAGGTGCCTCAATACCAGACAACAATTGATTCACATACACCAGAAAACTCAAATGTGCCTCGAGTCATGTCCAAGTGCATTGTATAGTCACAAAAGAAGGTGCAGGCTGGAAAGATGAAGGCCTGGCATGGCCTGGATCAGAACCAACATGGATGAATTAGCACTTTACTCATGCACTTGCCCTCCTTGAGACAAGTGAGAAACACATTTAAGTTGGGCCAGATGGAAATCCAGGGCCACAGAGGGAAGAAGCACATGACCTACACTCTCTGGTGCTCTATCAGGTACTTGGAGTCTCTAAGTTTGCAGAAGACCAGCAGCCCCTTTCCAGAAGGTGGAGTCCCTTTGTTTGCTTGATGTCAAACACAAGGCCCTCCAACTCTTCCTATGGTCCTGGAAGCTTTGGACATACAACTCCTAGATCAGAAAAATCCCACAGTGTCATCTCCCAGGAGAATGAATTGGGAGCTAGACCCAAGGGTGCTCAGACCAAAGGCCAGGAGACCCTAACCTTCCCATGGGCCACACAACCTCCTCTAATCCCTATCTCCACTCAATACCACCCTCCTACAACATACTAACATTCCCTTAGAGGGGGACTCAGAGACCCTAGCATGTACCTTTATCATGAAAATGATCAGAGTCTTCTCACCTGTCCTGGTAGGAACTTGGAGCAAAGGTCAAAGGGAACACAAGGTACACGTGGATGAGAGGGATTCCACTGGCCACTGACTAAAAGCTCTGCCAATTCTGCATGTGGCACTAACATGCAGCGGGCACCCACCTGCCCTGGGTTGTTCCTGACATGTCCTGAGCATCATAACTCAGACTTTGAGTCCACTCCCTTCAGATTCCCAGAACCTACTGCAACTGAAATCCAAACCAATATTGGACAGCTATATCTCCCTTCTCCAAAATCAGGGGTTACAGAATTACAACCTGATCCAGAAAAGTCCACTCTTGCATATATATCCAGAAGAACTTAAAAACCACTGCTAGAATGCAGGAAAGAGAGACATCTCTCCCCTTCCACCAGTGCCATCAAGAGACTAGAGATCTGCGCCGAGATGCCGTCAGCATCACAAGCTGTGGTGCAAAAGGTTCAGTTCATAGCACTGAATTGTTTTCATTTGCAGACAAGCATAAATTTAATGAGAAGAATATGTTAAGATTAAAATCACATTAAAAATGTCCTTTTCGCTTCCCGCACATTGACTCACTTTCTGTATGTCTGTGTGCAAGCATACACCAGGAAAACCCCATTCACTTCTGGGCTGCCTGCTTCAATATCCACTCTCCCCTTCTTCTCCTTAGCAGAACCCCGGTTCTACTTAGAACCCTCGGAGCCAGCTAAACGAATTAATTTCCATGACCCCTCTGCAGCTATGTGACTAAATTAGGGCTAATGCGATGTAAACAGAAGTGTGTGGGCAACTTCCAGAAAGTCCCTTGAGAGGGTGGGACAAACCCTTCATCGGCCCTCCCTTCCGTGTGTGGCCTAGAATGCCGAGGCAATGCTAACACTCCAGGTGCCCACCTGACCTGTGGGGGGATCTGCTCACAGTGACAGACCCAACAACAGCAAAGCACGGCCCTGGGAACCACCACACTGGCCCTGGAATGCAAATTCTCAGTCCTCTTTTACACAGTAGGGAAGGGGAAACTTCTGTTTTAAAGCCATTTACTATTGTTTTGGGGTCACATAAAGGTAAACTGAATTGTCATTTACAATTTTTAGGAAATTCTTTCAAAGATGACCCATGGAGGGAAGATTCCATAAAGATGGAGGCCGTGACATACTTTCTGTATCTCTACAAAAATCTCCACAAAAATATACCAACTAACAAAGAGCCTATTTCTTACAACTGTATGTGAATCCCAAAATAGAGTTTCTAAATATCAAAACACCAGCTTCATAACAGCAACCATACTCAGGAGTCTGAGGCAGGAGGGTCACTTGAGCCCAGACTGTAGTGAGCTGTGATCATGCCACTGCTCTCCAGCCTGGGCGACAGAGTAAAACCTTAGTTTTGTTTGGTTTTTTGGAGAGGGATGTTTTGTTTAAGAAAAAAAAAAAAAAAGGTACCAGATAGCAAAACAGAAACCCAATTTACAACTTTTACAACACAATGACAAATGTCAGAATACAAGTGGCAAATGGGTAAGAACAATTCCATTGGCACTAAAATAGAAGCAGGTGAGGACAGGCTAAAATATGTATGATAGATTCTCCTAAAAGGAGAATCCCAAACAGCCAGTAGGTATCCACTGGAGAGTATAGCAGGCCGATATGAGGACAGCTGCTGAAATAGAGACCTACAGACCCATCCAATACTGAGCAAGTAACTGGACCCATGGTTCAAACTGAAATATCCAAAGCAATCTAGTCCCTATAAATTCTTAAAACTTGTCCCCAGGGCTGCTTTCTGGTGTAGGAGAAACTGCTGGGAATAAAAAAATGGAGCAAGACAGGGACAATAATATAAAAGAAAGACCTGGGCAAAATAAAAGTGAGAGACAGGAATAGAGCCCAGAAATCTCAGAACGCAATTTGTTACATTTCTAAACACTACACTAGAACAGTAGATAAAGCAGCTCTGTGAAGTTAGAAAAACAACTCTGAACCAAGAAAAACTGATTTCATATAAATATGAGCAACATAAAAGTATCAAGGTCAAATTTCATGCAGAGTAATAATAAGGAAAAACCTTGAAAACATCAAGGCCAAATTTCCTGCAGAGTTATTGTACAGGGTTGAACAACATCCCAACAGACAATGGACTCATGTCCAGACAACATACCTACAAAGAACAAATCAAATTTGGCCAAATTTGTAACCTATACTTTTTCAAAATTGATAAAAGAGAAAAAATACAAGAAAGAATATAAGTCAGAATTGGAAAAATTTAGAAATAAAATGATTTAACTAAGGAAGATAATTTGAATTTGCTTGAATTCCTCTACTAGGTGTATATCCAAAAGACCAAAAATCACTTTTTAACAAAGATATTTGTACCAGATTGTTCACTGAAGCTCAATTCATAATAGCCAAGTCATGGAAGAAGCCCAAGTGCCCACTGACCCATGAATGGATTAATAAATTGTGGAATACGTATACCATGGAATATTATGCAGCCTTAGAAAAGATGGAGAGGCTCAGCGCCTTTGGCTCAAGTGGCTAAGGCGCCAGCCACATACACCTGAGCTGGTGGGTTCGAATCCAGCCTGGGCCTGCCAAACAACAATGATGGCTAAAACAAAAAAATAGGTGGACATTGTAGTGGGTGCCTGTAGTCCCAGCTCCTTGGGAGGCTGAGGCAAGAGACTTGCTTAAGCCCAAGAGTTTGAGGGTGCTGTGAGGGCAGATGGTGAGGCTCTGTCTCAAAAAAAAAATACAGAAATGTTACAGAAGTGGTACAGAGAGT